GCTCAAGATCGAAATCACTCTCTGGGTGCATCTGCACACAGTCTCTTCAAAAACCTGCCAATCGCATTCCTAGCGGCTGGCGTGAGCACCGGGCCGGCGTCGCCATACGCAAAGGATATGATGGTTCGCACGCACGCTTTACCGATTCTTCCGAAGAGCTGGCCGTCCGCAAATTGCATACGACCCCTAAGCTTCAGGGCAAAGGATTGAGGCAGCAGCCCTGTTTCGAGGATCTTCTGGAACGTGTCCCTAAGCTCTGAGATGCGCTTCTCCGTGTTCGAGAAGAGTACGGAACCCTCACAAAACTTGCTGAGGTCAACTTTTATCCCAAGCGCGTGGAAACTCAACGCAAAAGGCTGTGCCTTGTCTCCACTCTCTGCGAAACTCCATCCTAGGAGCTTAAAGAAGGCTTCAACAGTAATTACGCTGCAAGTGTGTGCTTCCTGCTCCCCGGGCAAAGGTCACGAAATCGTCGAAGAAAGATGTCCAGGGTATCGCAAGCTGCAGCCCCAACAAACCACAAAGACATGGCAACGCGACGGAACGCGTACACTGCACGGCTCGCGCCGAAAGGGAGCGTTCGCATACGGAAGATCCCTGGCGCCTGAATTGCCGGATCCCAACAGGCAACATAGCTAGCCCAGGAGGACTCCGGCGACACTGCAAGCTGACGGTAAGCAGACTTGAGATCAAACGTGCGGCCGAGCACGGTGCTACCACCACACTTTGCAAGCAGTGCAAGGCAGAGGGCGGCCACTTTGTCAGTAGCGTGTGGCCGTGGAGTCTCGGCCACTTGCACTGTGCCGTTCACCCCTCCGTCTATGACCCTCACTTTAGACCCCTGCACAACGCCGAACCTACGGCTTACAAGTGCGCTGCTTTCCAGCTCACTGAGCGGAATCGGCCCTTCAAGCCATCCGGCATTGCACTCTTCCCATGTCTTTTTCATCACTTCCGCATCCTGTTGGTCCACCTGAGCGGGTGCTGCTGGCTTCCCTCTTGACCTGATCTACAGTTGTTTTGGCAGGCTTGAATGTAGGCGTGAAGATCCCCATGATGGGTACTTCACCAGTAAGCTGCGTGCCCTGCAGAATCGAACGCACCCGGGTCTGGGTAGTTACACTCTGTGAGGATTTCCTTGTAAAGCAGCAAAGCGCTTTGGCTCTAAGATGCTCTGCAGGAAGGATGCAATGTCTTCTTGAGCTCTTCTTTTTCTTCGGGCGCAAGTTGTTCTGCCCTTTTAGCCCATTTGCGGATCCAGTGAGTCCTCATCTTTGCAAGGTCTGCATCGTCCATTGTCTCATTCAACTTTACTGCTTTCTGAAGCACATCTGGCAGCGCCTTACGGAAGCTGCTCGGGTGGCCTGCTTTCAGCAGCCTCGACAAACTCGGCTTCAGAATGCGGTACGCCCCACGCTTGCTCAAATGACAACTGCTCGGCTTCAGCTTTGGACCCAGCTAACCAATCCCCAACCTGAACCGAGATGGGTGTACTGCGGAGAAGCTGACTCTTCGCAGGAACACAAGCAACAAATGGTGTGGCCCTGACTCCAGCAGGCAGCGGAAATGGCTGCTCGAGGCTCGCAAGGACAAGTCAAAGGCCGTTGCGAACGCAGAACTACCACCATCTTGTGTTCAGAAGCAGGGAACCTGGAAGCCTTATGAAAGCCAGCGCTGCGCCAGCTGCCAACTGTGAGGGATAGGCGGTCTCCTGGGAAGTAGCGAAGCCATTCGGCGCAGTGAGGTCACGGCTCCAAGGCAGGTGCTGCTCGGCGCACTCAGGACCGGGACAAAAGCGGGCCAGACTTGCAAACGCAGCACAGTTATGTGCAATCGCAGTCTGTTTCTGGCGCTGGCCACTCAATCCGGGCAGCCCATGGGCCATTGCGCGGAACGCAACGGAGGATGGCCTCTATCTCCTTTCTTTCTTGCCTGCAACGCAGTGCCGCACGGCGGCGCCATGAAAACGCCTGTGACTCTGCTGTAGCCAAGTGAATAGCAACTCTCTGCCCTCAACAGTGGTGAGGTTGCTGGATGCTTTTAGAGCACGCCTTGGAGACATCAACATCGCTCTGCAGAAGGAAGTGCACTTGGCGGATCACACTGGTCAGTAAGAGCTTCAGGGTTATCCAAGATCAAATCTCCCAATCGAGTCTACAAGAAGGATCTTTTTTGGCACATCGGACCTTAATTGCCAGTATCCAGTTTTTCACGGGTGTGCTGCTCTGGGCAAGTTTGGCATTTAGGCCGGAGGGCCTCTGAGGCAAGAGACCTCGGTCCTGATGTGCGGCATACCCCCTTTTCAAAAGTTTTTTCGACACCTATGCGCGGGCTACTCCTCTTTTGGAAGGCAGCATTGCAGAGTGTTTGGGCCACTCCACTTTGGAAGGCAGAAGACGTGAGGCAACGCGGAAGTGCATTTTGGCGGCAGACCCAAAGAATGCGGCGGATCCGGCTGCTAAGACTTGATAGTTGCGGTGCGTGGATGTTGCAGCCAAAAGATTGCCACGCACCAAAAGAGCCCATCATCCCCGGAATCTGTTAGAATGTTCCAGCCGGTTTGCAAAAGACGCAGATTGTGCTCCTGTGTGCAACATACGCGCAAAGAACGCGTGAACGGAAGATGGGTGTCTCTGTGCAGAAGTGTAGAAGCTCAGGGTCAGCAGTGTGTCCCGCCATTTTTGTGTTGTGCCGAGGTGGAATCGAGTCCGCAGCGACCTATGTCGGATTCGACTCAGCTGGATGTCGCCATCACGCCTGCAAAGCCAGGTGTCGTCGGAAAGGGTGAGAGCGGTGTGTCCCGCCAATTTTGCGTGTTTTTTGAGGTGGGGGCCGGTCTGCAGCGAAGCCTGTCGGCTCCAGGAGATGTCTCCGTTCCCGATGAAGTGATCTGGCCTTCGCAACAGGGTTGCATGGATCCCGATTCCATGGAGGTGTGCTCGAGTCTGGAAGCGAAAGGCCGCCTTTGATCATCCAGCCACATTGCCGCAAATCAGTCATCAAAAATGCTTGGCAGCAACAAGCTCCCTAACCAGCGCGAGTCAAGCCACAGGTTGACTTTTTCGTGTTCTGAGAGATGTTTTGCCTTATTGCTTTTGTGTTGTGTGTTGTGTTGATCGCTGTTGCAAAAATTAAGAGGTTTAGACCCGAAAGAGACTTCTTGCGCGGCACTACGACCTCTTGAAATCTTACATCAAGTCAGGATTCGAACATCTTCCAGGCGACATTGAATGGCCGGATTGCAAGGGTTCATTGCAATGCTTGGCAGCTGCGCTTGGCTCTGAACTTCCGCGGAAAGCTCATGACACCTTAGCTGCCCCCTTGATTTCACCTGTTCACTGACGACTTGACCATTCAATCCCGTCATGCTATTAATGTCTTGTGTTTATTCTTCAAAAAACAGAAAAATACAAGACGCAAAGAAAAGTCTAAGAGAAGTCTCATCCACACGCACTTTTCTCGATATCTCTGGAGTGAAAACAAGGTTCTTATGAGTCTTGGGCTGTCAGCGTCTTTTAAGGTTTTCCCAGAAGACTCGCTTGCGATGGTGTGGAGAGCAGCCTCAGCTTTTAGAGCTTAGGGAGTGTTTTTCAGTGTTTTTCCAGAGCAGAGAGTAGGTTCTAATGTTTGAAGCCGATGGTCAGGAAGTGCAGCAACCTTACATTCAAAGTACGTTGCCATATCGTTGAGCAATGGACCGATGGTGAGTCAGTGCAGCAGCCTTCTTTCTTCAATGACAAACAATCCAAAGCACGTCATAAATTTATGGGCGGGTTGGAGCGGACACGGCCCTGCAATGCGCGCGACGCGCGCGAAGCGTGCGAAGCGCGCAAATCCTTGAGCGGGCGAAGCTCGTGAAAAGCGTGCGAAGTCCTTGAAGCGCGCACAAAGCGTGCGAAGCGCGCGCCGCGAAGCCCACGAAGCGTGCGAAGCGTGCGAAGCGCGCAAAGCGCGTGAGGCGTGTGGAGCGTCCTCCAGGCGGAACCATAGTCGCATGAACGTTTCCGTCGTTTTGTCTTCGTAAAGTGACGGCGCATCAAGCTTGGTTTTGCAGTGATTGAGATGCTGTTGCTGAATGAGCTGCTGGTTTGCTCGGCTGCTGCTTGTGCTGGGCATTGTGTCGATCCAATTTTTGGAAGTTGTCGAAGACTCTGCTGGTCCTCAACTCGAGACATACAAACGTCCACGTGTTCCACGTCTTGAATTTCTTGCATGCTGATGGCGAGATTGTGCAGATGTCGATGTTTTGCAGTCAGCTGCATGCCAGTCGTACAAGAGATTGGGATACGGACAAAGAAGGAATAACAAAGGGATGGGCCCAGCTGCCCCAGCTCCCTCAACTCCACTTCAGTTTGACAGTTCTGCAACACGGAGATCGCGCTTCGATTGGAACCTCCCTGTGTATTTTGCTTTTCACTGCAGAAAATAGCTGCGAGATGAATGATCAGCAGCATGTTTATCATAACGACGAGGCATGTGTGTGCGCTTTAGACCAGAATGTGTTTCTGAGAAGCATGTAGCGAGTCGAGGTCACGTGCGTTGTGCAACATGAACCGAGTCTTGAAGAGTGTGATGCATGCGTGTGCGCATCTCCCTGCCATAGAACTCGTTGTCCCAGAGAGTGGCCTACTTGTCACCGACACCCAACAGGCCAAATCCGTCCTTTTCTTAAGGTGCCCAGCAGTCGCAGCTTCGTGTTGCGTTGTTTCGCATCGTTCTGTATCGCAGCGAACGGCATGCATCGGAGAAGCATTGTGGCCCAAAAAGGGCGATGCGGAAGTACACCCCAATGAGAGCCTGAGAGCCCTCAAACTTGTGGCGCTTAGAAGCAACTTGGGATTGATCCATGGGACCTAGTAAGGAGCTTGTCGCACCCTAGACCGTAGCCACAGTCATCTTGGCAGTGTTTTTGCGTCTCTTGCTGTTGCTCTGGCTCAAGCAGCTGTAGTACACAACGGCGGCAGCAAGTCGTTTGGGAGTGCGCATCAACACCAGGCGCAATGGCGACTGTTCTTGGCTCGGGTGAGCGGCCAGCACCGGCTTTCCTGTCCCGCATGGCCCAAGCAAATCAGAGACCAGGCTAATTTTACGTTACACTTTTCAGTTGTTGCTTGAACCTCATAAGGTCCACAGTGCGGACAGGACGCCGCTTTGGTAAGTTTGTCCTAAAGCCACTGAGGAAGGTGATTTGCACTGCTAAGGGTGAAGACGTTCGCACGGTGAACGTGGAATATTTGCTTCAGAAGCGCCTTCGGATACCCATTTTCCAGCGGAGATACTGTTGGTACAAAGAGCAGTGGAACACCCTTCTTGGGGATGTGTGCCTGGTTGCAAATGGTTCGAAAGAAAAACATGCTCTGGGCCGTATCACGTGCGTGCTTGACAACTCTGGTGATGGCAGGCTTTTGGTCGTAGATGGCCAGCAGCGGAACACCACTTGCTCTCTCCTCTTGGCGGCCGTGCGTGATGTAGCGGCCACTCGACATAGCGAGGAGTGCTTGAAGCTTGTATCCAAATTGGAGTCTTTGCTTTTCCCAGGTGGGCTGGAAGAGTGGATGTCGGCCAGGCAGCCAGGCACACCGCTGGAAGAAGGTGCCGAGCTCGGTGCAGCAGCGTTGGTGCCCACGTACTGCGACAGGGCCAGCTACTTTGCGGCCACGCTTCCACGCCGGGCCTCTGTGCCCTCTGTGCCAGACTCTGGTTCCTGGATGCGCCCCATGGAGGCCAAACTCTTTTTCTCAGATCGCCTGGTAGGGGAGAGTGACAAGCACTTGGTCGCAGTGGCAGAGGCGGTCTTGTACAAGCTTGAGTGGCTGCTCTTTCCCATCTCCTTGGGCGAAGGTGATGCCCGAACTGTTTGAGTCTTTTGAGCAGTTGTTTTCAACAATGTCCAAAGCATGACTCCACTATGTGCCGTGTTGTTTCGGATGAATGGCAGGTCACAAGGATGGCACGGAAGATCTCCACCTGATCTTCGAGCGGCTGGCGCTTCGCGATGCCACGTTCTGCAAGCCACATCGGGCTACAGAGTATGCCAACATGGGGGCTGCAGACTTCGTTCGAAACTTGCTTCTGGGCTCTTTTGCTGAGGAGGCTGATGCAATACATGCCTACAAGACTTATTGGCTGCCAATCGAGAAGTCTGCGGCGAAGGTTGCCGAGGCCAAGCAAGAAAGCGTCGCAAGCCATCTGGAAGCCGCGTTGGAGGCCTTTTTGAAGGCGAATCCTCGGCAGCGAAAGAAAGCGAATCTCGCCGCAGCTGGGGTTGGAGGTGCTCTGTACGCCCGGTTCCGCCGCTGGCTTGTCGACATGGAGGTCGCCACCGACCCGAAGCAAACCACGGACACCATGGACCTGCTGCACCGATTGCACGACTTTGCACTGCAGCACTTCGAAGGTGGGCCTGTGCGGCAGGCGTCCCCTCCCGGGCTTGATGCGTGGAGCTTTGGAAGCACCACGAAACAGCCACCTGCACTGATTCCCTGCAGAGAAGACTGCTGAAGAGTCATGTCAAGAGTATATTTGGGAGCAAAAGAGATGTTTTGCATGTCGTGTATCCACAGATGGCCAGGCAGTTTCCAGACACCGTGTACAGATGGTTTCTCACTGCTTGGCTTAGTTGCGGCACGCCGAATGATGTGCTCTCGACCATGTGACACATGCTGTTGGTTGGGCAGCTTGGGCAGCAAAAGGCGCTTGACCGTCTGTCGCGGCCGCCTGGTCTCCCTCCGATCTCTCGATCTTTTTCGTTCTCCTCGCGTCTTACCCTGACATTGTTTGGCATGCTGCTGTGCAGAGCCTACTGGTACAGCTGTTGACATGGTCACCGAATCGAAAGCATGAGGTTGCATCTGGCATGTGCGGCCCCGAAGGCGCACCTTTCCACTTTTGCCTACTTAGTATTTCTGCAAACGCACCCCGCCTCGGCCCGGCTTGCACGTCAAATGGAGACGGGAGAAACCTAACCTCTGAACCCTACGGCACTACGGCTCGGAAGCCTCTATCCACCAGAAAGCTTCGAAAGCTCTCAGGCATGTAGGCATGGACCCTGGGAGGCTTTAGGGGCTCCACGGAAATCCATAGATCCAAGAATGGGTGTCCACGGAAGGTCCTTTGACTTTGAGGACGGAGTTTTCAGCGTCAGGGTTTGGCTGATTACCATTCATTAGCACCTTATGGGAGGTTCTCTTAGGCAGGGCTTACGTGTGAATTAGAGAGCCCGTTGCAACGTAGCCTTCTTAGTAGACATGTCTATGGCTGTGGACGACAGATGAAGCGTGTTGCGCCTGAAGAGACAGAAGCAGCTTAAAGTTTTCCAGCTCCATGCTTCATGCTGCTGGTTGGTGCTATGTTGATGCAGGCTGGTATGGTACTCGCATGTACAGGCAGGCCGCATATTACTAGGGAAGGGCGAGGTTGGGGCGTGAAGGTCGGAAGCGCGTGGAAGGAGCTGTTATCTTCTAAGCGGCGTAAACAGATGGCGACAAAGAGCTAAAGTATCACACATACCAGGACCAATGTGAATGCGAAACTGCATGATTTTATATGACCTGCTTCATCAAGGCCTGAAAATAGGAATGGGGTGGTAGCATGCCTCCCGCGATTTTGAACCACCACTTGCACTGCCCTGACTTGGCTGTCGCCGTCAACTGCGTGTGCATTCCATTGGCTCGGGCAGTTCGGCAGTTACAGCCTGGTAGGGGTAGAGCCTGGTAGGGGCCGAGCGGCCAGATTCCAGTGTTTGCCCTTGCCTTTCGATGGCAATGACAAGAGAGAAAAGTCCAGCCAAAATCGCACATCTCATCCCCAGGCTGATGAAGTTGCCTGGATGTTCCAGAGATGTGCAGGAATCGACAGTTTTGAGTTGTTTGATGGATGTGCTCGATCTCGTCGCAACGCCGGAGGAGAAGGACCGATGTGCAAGAGACAGCAAAACCAGCCACTGTAAGCACCTAAGCTCTAAATGTCGAGGTCTCTTTAGCTGTCGTGCGGCGTCCAGGAAGTGATCGGCTTGGATGAGCTTGCTTGCCTCAGGCCGTCTCCAGACAGTGTCACGGTTGTAAGGCCTCTCATGTCACCAAAGCCCTGTAACAATAACAGGAATGCACGATGTTGATTGAATCTGCCAGGTTGAGAATGATGCTGATATCCTGGCAGTTGGCGAGTTGCAAAACGTCTCCCGAAGAGATGAAAGCTCACATCCAGGGGAGACCTGCCTGCAATGTTCAGGCAGTGAGTGTGGTGCTGCGTTTCATCAAGCTGTATCAAGCTCCTAGCGCAACAATCCAGAATCTGTGAAGAATGGGTAATATGGCATGGCGTCTTGTTTTGGTGTTGTTACCTCGTTTACTTTGATGTTCATTTTGCATGTTGCAACAAGTTTGTGCAGCTCGCCTTTGCAGAAGAGGGTTGATCAAACCAAAAATGTTTGCTTCATGTAGCTTGTGCAGGACAGTGGCTGCTGGTGATGTGCTGGTGGTACCGGTTGTGCGTCACCAATATCTACTCGTGGTGTATCCTGTCAAAGAATGTCCTGACAAGCTCGTCGTGTTGTACGTTTCGCAGCATCCCGGGTCATTCAGCTCTTCTTGCACAAAACATTGGAAGCAGGAATGCTTGATGACAGGTTTGCAGTGCCCGTGTCAGCCAGCCAGACAGGTTCATAAGGAGGACTTCTTGGTGCCAGAGAAAGTGCGCCAGCTAAGTGTTTTGGCGACAGCAAAAAGAGCATCGGACTCGGACGATATCTTTTTCAACAACTTCTGGCTGCCAAACTTGTTGGGAGAGCACTTTCCTGCACAATCCGAGTATAAAATGGTGGAGCGAAGCACTACTGATTTTGATCGTGTCAGGCTTTGCTTGGATGCTCTGATCAGGCATGTGCTGGGCTTGCCAAAATCCGTGTACAAGCGTCTCATGATTTTTCTCCACCTCTGTGCAATCCGCCATGTCGCCCGATATTTCGCTGACCCCAATGGCAGCATGGCTAGTCTGCCACGGACCTTTCTTCAGCAAGTTTTGCAGTGCATCAAGGGCAGAGACGTGCATGCCTTGATGGCAACCAGTCGCTGGGAAAGTTACACAGGGTTGTTTGCCTCGCAGAGTCCTCCCAAGAATCTGCAACAGACTGCAGCACAAAGTCTGGTGCACTTGCGGCGAATGGAGGATTTGTACCGCCAAGGCTCCTTTGTGGAGACCATGCAACATGTTGCTCGCAAGCTTGTCAAACTTGCCGCAAGTGCTGGAAATGACCATGGTGTTCGTGGGTTTGCCGCTTTGATCAGCTCTGAGTTAGGCTACCACCAGGAGAAGCTGCAAAGTAGTGGGGCGTTCGTTCACATCAAGTCCTCTCGCGAAGGCCATGCGGACTTGACAGCTGCTCTCTCTCTCACAAAGGGTGTGCAGGCGAGTCTTGATTTGGAGTTGCCTCATGCTTGGACGGCGTTTGTCGAAGGTGCAAAAGCCTTGTTCTGTGGACAGGGGCCGGACATGCGTGCTGAAACTCCTGTTCGGCAAGTGTCCCAAACATGGTGCGTTATGGTCAGCACACTTTCATGTCACGACTGCAGCCGTGCGGCGTATTTGGAATCACTTGTGGAGTGGATGGCTGTAGCAGACGATTGTGATTGCCTTCGGGCAGCGGTGATTTTTGAAGAAGCCGTACTGGAGCTAGCCTTGGCTCAGGACTCCTTGCACGACTGGCCGGCTGCCTTCTCGTTCAGGGAGGATGCCATGCTGTCAGACGGCTGGTCCATGAAGCTATCGAAAATGCTGGAGGCGTATGTCGCCCTCCGCTCCAGGCCAAGCCAGTACCGCAGCACTTTGCGCCATTCCCGCATGGTGTTGACGGTCTGGGCTCTGGCCTGCATGCAAGACTCCGTACTTCGCAATCACGGGGAGATTCACTTCAGGAACCTGCTGAAGAACTTCGCCCCTCCTCTGGCCGCCCATGCTTTGGAGCATTTGCTCCTTCCCGAGAAGAGGTGGCTGGTTCTTCTTGGCCGTGTGGAGGAGTACCTGCTGGACTTGAGCGGTGCTGCTCATGGACTGCTTACTCCAGGCCCGGAGGGCATCGAGGACCTGAAAGCTCTAGCAGCAGCGTCGACAGAGCGGCTGCCGTTGGTTGCGCATGCCTGGCAGCAGGAAAGGCTTGCTGTACAGGCGGTGCACGCAAAACGCGACGACCAACAAGGCTACAACGAAAGATGGGCAGCCAACTGTCGGACGAGAGTAGAGGAGGCTTCTTGCTGTCAGCAGCTTTTGCAGCCGGCGTTTCAAAACGAAAATCTTCCCAGGACACGGTTGCAAGGTGCAATGGTCTGGACGATGTGCCAGGAGCAGCTGAAGCACAATCAAGCACAGGGCCTGGCACACTGTCAGGCTGAGCTTCAATCTTTGCAGCGCCCCCTCCCCTCCAAAGTTCAAGCGCTGCCTGACATTTCCAAACATGAGGCAGAAGCACGGATGGTCGTGTTCTGTGCTTACTTTCCTCCAGAGCTAGCAAGGCTTGGAGTCTCCTTCTGTTTGGCTCGTCATTTCTTCGACTTCGAGGCAGGCTTTCCACCTGCCCCTCAAGAGCCACCGAATTTCTCTTGGCGGGCGCATTTTCAGGAGTTTTCCGCGTGCCACCATGCCGCAGTGGACAGTCAGGTGCACTTTGAGCTGTTCGGAGATTGCCAGCAGACGTATCGTGACGGGGAGCAGAGTGGGACCCTTTTCTTGCCAGTGAAGGACGGGCTTGGTATTCATTACCCGGACAAGGAGTTGCAGGGGCTGCGGCTGTTGTGGCGATGGCAGGGGGCTCTGATCAATCCATTCGAGAAGGCGTGGCCACAGCAGGGTGAGCCACCTGCATGCTTGTACCGTATGGAACTTGCTGACAGATTTGCAGGTGAAGATTGGTTATTGGCATTGCCGGACGAGAATGCAGTCCTGGCACACATTCCAGTGCCTCCGCAGATATTGACAAAAATTCAATACAGGTCCTTGGGCCTAATGTGTTCAGAGCTTCACATACGTCGGCTCTTGCTGGCTCTGCAAAGAGAGGAGTTGCCTCTAACGGATCCGCGCGTGTTGGCTGCATGCCAGCAGGTGCTCTTCCGTGCTGGTCCCCGTGATGAGCCCGAGTGCTTCCTAGGACGAAGCTGCAAAGCAGACTTGGAGGAGTTTGGCTCTTGGGCAAGTGCTGAGGGTTTGTTGGAGCAGGCAAGGGCACTTGAAGTTCAGGGAGGTCCTGTGGACTCGCTGGTATGCCTGATGACGTCCTGTGGATTCCTGGGGCAGTTTGACTGCGCCACGTGCCCCAAAAGTCCAAACCCAGCTCGACGAGCTTTTCGCCTGTGTCAGACATTGCTCTCAACTTGGGCAGCGGAGGCCCATGCACAGAAGCAATCCCCAGTGCAGGTTGTCAACATGTTGGCCGCCTTGGTGCAATCATTTCGCTATGTACCACAGGGGTGTCTTACCGTCGGTGAAGCAGGTGATGCTTTCAAACTGCTGCAGGCGCGTATTGATCTTGAAAATTGTCTGGCAGTCAGCAACCAGAAATTGGAGCCTGCAGTGCAGTCATCGGTGGATGAAGTTTGCTTCCAACACGAGTGCCAGCTCACAGTCCCCGCAATTTTGGACTGCATCCTGTGTGCGCGCTTGCCAAGCCAAAGGCCAGTGTCCCAATGGCATGTTCCTGACAAGGCTGCTTTGTGGAGTACGTGGCGTGAAGTACAAACTACATCTGGACTCATTCGTTTGGAGCCCGTGCGAGGGCACCTGCTCTTCAATGACAGGCCAGTCGGGCATTTGCCAAAAGAGATGCGGCACCATGCGACCTTCGGTGCCACTGTGGGCCAATCTGACTGTGCAGCTTGGGCGCTCACGAATCAGCTCTTCGAAACTGAGCCTCTGGACTCTCACAATGGGAAGACTTTCAAGATAGGCATGCTCCCCCAAGATGAGCTGCTTGTGCAGGAAATTGGTCACGAGAGCCGTCTCCTGTTGCCATCACGATGCCTTCCAAAGGGCCTGCGAGCAGCCTTAGTGAAAGGCTACAGCCATTGGGTGGATGAGCAGGAAACTGTCATTGAATTCAGGCCTGCAGGTGTTCAGGACGACCGCCGGAAGTACAAACTGTGCTTGCAAAACTCCCAGTCTTGCCAACTTCATTGCTCCTACCAGGGTGCAGACTTCTACGTGCTGCCTTCCTCAGAACCTTGCTTGGAGAAGTTTGTGCATCTTTTCCGCAGAGTTGAACCTGATGAGTGGGTCGAGTATCTTGCTGATGCCGGCGGCTGCTTGAAAGAAATCCATCTGTTGCGATTGGATCTCAAGTTCAGGGTATCACACAGACCCGATGCCACTGATTCGGTGTGCCTGGAGTCTTTAGACTATCCAGAATACTGCTTAGCCTCAAGGCAAGTGCTGGATATGCTCTGCGGCTTTGAGGGGTTCCTTCTGTTGGAGAAGATGTATTCCCAAACGCAGGAGTTGGCATCAAGAGCCCCTGGCCTCGTGCTGCTGCCAACGATTACCAATTCGCCTACCGCGTCTTGTGCCGTTCGAAACATCGAGCTCACAAGTGATTCCTCGGATCCTCTGCTGCGTTGTGTCCTGGATTTCTCTGCCTCGGAAAAGCAGCGGAAGCTTGCCAAATTCGAAATCCACTGGGAGAACGGGTTGGTTCAAGTACAGACAACTGCAGCTCGCCTTCAACTTGCGTCTCTCCTGTGGGCCTGCGGCAGCGCAGTGCCTGAGAAGCTCTTTGGACATCCTGCTCGAAGGGAGTCTTTGGACTTGCTGCGGCAGTGCTGGCAAAACCAGCCCTATGACGAGGCCCGGTACGCACATGAGAAGTCTGAGAGTCCACAGAGTAGATTGAGGTGATTTTGAAAGAATTTGAAGACGTAAGGTGTTTGGGGCATTCTTCCTGGCTTTGCTTGCAGGAAGAAAGGGTGTGGTTGAAAGGGCCGGTGCCTCAGACGCGTCTCTGCTGCTGTGCTCAGTGTGGCTTCTGTTTGGCTGCGTACCAGTGGGCAAACGGCTATTGGAGCCGAGCCATATGTTCCGTATGCCGCTTGCATTGAAACACATGTGCCAGGCTGCACAAGTGGGCGGAGGAACCCAAATCGGTGGAGTTGCGAGTGGTCCTGGCAGAGCTGGAGCGCGGCGCAGGATCCCTGTTGCTGGGTGCCAAGACAATGGCATGCGTTGCCTCAACCAAGTTGCAGGAAAAACCAAGAGGTGCAGGCGTCCATGGCGAATCTGTGCATGTATTTGTAACACTACGCAACCCGCCTCGGCCGGGGGCGCCCTCACAACTAAGACGATTGCCCCGGCGGCATCCGCAGCGCAAGGTTTTGTGTACATATGTTTGGGCATACAGGGCACCGACAAGTATGAGCGCTGAAGCGTCTACGCTCATACTTGTCGGTCAACTTCTTGTGTCCTTTGAAGATGGGATAAGTTGGTGCTCCCAACCCTCGTGCCTCAATTCTTGTCCTATTGGCTGTTTGTAGTTTGTTTTCCTTGTTGACTCCAGCTGAGAGGAGGTGCTGAGCACAAGCGGAGGAGGGGGCTGTTGTAGTTCACCGACATTGAGTCTGGGGGACCAGACTGACAGAAGGAAGCAGGCGATGGGGGGGCAGGGGCAGGGGAGCTTGGGGTGTCGAGCGACACGGGGGGGTGGGGACGAGGGGGTGAGCGAAATCTTGTAGGTCTGAGGGGGCTGGGGGGGCGGAGCGGAGGGGGGCGGAGCGGAGGGGGGCTGGGAGGTTGCAGGGCAAACCCCTGGTGCTTACGGAGCCAAGAAAGGTAGGAAGCCCAAATGCGCAAAAGGCGAGAGGAGAACGTTGGCGGACTTCTTCTTCTGTGCTCAGACTGCTTAGATCTAGTTATGTAGTGCCCAGGCCCTTGCAATTCGCATGCTGGCCAGTGCTGCGACTTCTTGAGCACACAATGCTTGTGTCCGCCAAGGTCGCTTGATGCAAACCCAGGCAAATGGCCTGCTGCCTGCGCTGCAACGCTGCCCCGTGGCTGGATCGACTGTGTCCGCAGATTCCGGCTTCATGTTGCTTCATTAATTTGCGAAATCCCAGGTCTACGAAGGAAGCATCAGCTTTCTGGCGCAGAGTAGATCGTCTTCGTGGCCAGGGGGAGGAGCCAAGCGGGGGATTCACAGAATTTATGGCAAGCATGACCTCTGATCCCAGTTGCGTGCGCCCGTCGTTTTCAGGATTTCAGGCTAAAGACACTTTCCATGGCTTTCCATCTAGATTCTGCATGACTTTTTTCTGTGGCTTCATTGTTTGGCTTCTTGACTGCCAGCAGCTCTTTACAAACTGCATAGACAGCCTCGACCAACAATAGTCCTTTGGCTCCTACTCATGGTGTAGGTGCGCAGAGAGCGTGACTGTCTCCAGGAGTGGTGTTTGCTGAGAGCCGGCGAGCGACTCCAGCTTGGCAGTCCGCCCGAGGTCAAGATCACAAAGCCGACGCTGCCAAAGATGCCTTGGAATTTGCGGATCTTGCGGCGATCTCTCCGAAAGTATTCCCAGATCCAATGGCTGTTCAGAAAGGGCTTCGGCCCCTGGCTGATGGGCGTGTTTGGATTTCCGAATTCCTTTGGCTGCACGAGCCCAAAGACGGAGGACCTGCCGGCACAGGTTGGCATCGGCAGCTGCCACAGGATCCGTGCATGCTGCAACTATGGCACATCGCAAAGCATGCAAGACCGGTGTCGAGAGAGGAACTCCGATGGCGATTGGGATGGGGGTCTGTGTCAGAGTGTAGGTCCTCTGGGCAGCAGAGCCTACTTTGGCATGTAGCGCTTGGGTGTGCGGTGTCTCTCTTCCCTGAAGACTTTCCGGCCCCACCGCCGTGGGCGCACGGAGCGGTTGGGCACCGCGCGATCCTCACCAGTGCGCATGACATTGACCGATACTTGCACGCCGAGAGGGTTGTATACCGGTCTGAAGATGATTGTCGCTCGCTGGCTAGACCCACAGAGGGCGAAAGTGTCAAATGGTGGGAGATGAAAAAGCACGCGCAGTCAGAGGAGCACAGGTTTGCCGTGGAGACCAGGCGAATTGCAAGCTTACAAGAAGACCTGCAGCGCGAGAAGCAAGCACTCGATGTCGCCACGGAGACGAAAGACAAGAAGAAACAAGCAGTTCAGAAAGAGCTTGACCTGCTTGTGCATCTTGTGCCTTGTAGGCAATTGTGGGGTCGGGTGGAGTAGCAAATGCCGGCAATGCAAGCTGCTGTAGAGGGACGTAGATGTGCGGCAGACAAGCACTGTGCCAGACGAACTGTAGTGCGCAAGCGTGCTTGGACCCTAAGGAGAAGATAAAGATGGGTGCGCAGATTGCAGACAAGGAGAACCAATCAGTCCAATCCATGCTGGGGGAAGCACTTTCGAAAGATGAGCTGGTCAAGAAGAAGGCAATGCTGCAGAAAGACCAGGCTACCCTCCAGTCTGAGGAGAGAGCCTTGGATGGCCGTAAGAATGACGTGCAAACTCGGGCAGAGCACCTGGTTTCGGTTCAGCAGAAGCTAGAGCATGACAGAAGTACTCTCCGGCAGGGCCTTTCAAACATGGAGGTGCATCGGGAGACAAGGCTAGCATCCAGCAGTAGTGCACATGCCCGAGAGAACCAGGAATCAGAGAAGAGGTTCCAGGAAGACCTTGCTCGTGCAGTGCAGAACTATGAAGATGAGGAGAAGCATCTGCTGGAGCTAGCGCCTGGCTATGGCGAGGCAAAAGGCCCTTTCTCCATCTTCAAGGATGAGATGAAAGAGAAGATAGTTGCCCACAAGAGTGGCGGAAACCATTTGCATGCCACCATCACTCGCCGCGCCCGGGAAGCGCCAACATCGTTGGATAGCTTGCTTGACATGCTGAAGCAGTGGTTCTCAACCTATGAGGGAGACTGCTGGCAGAGCTACCAGAGTAAAGAGGAGGGGCTTTTCTGGAGGCATATTCGGCAAGTGAGCCCATATCGACCAGCTGACGCACACGAGGCGGCAGGAGTCACAGCAGCATGGAGCACTGTGATGACTGAGGTGAAAGCTTGGGTGGAGAGTGGCAGTGCCGACCACATCTCTGACTCCAAGCCCTCCTTCTGCCTGGAGGATGTGCCTACCGAAGTCAGCCACTTGCAAGGCCTTCAAGTCGCAATGAAGTCCATCAATCTGAGGGAGGAGGCACAGGCGGCACTCCTACGGAAGCTTGAGGGCAATCTTCAGCTCTGGTTGCGACAACGTCTGGCTGCCCGACTCGTCGAGTCGTACAGAAAGGCATTCCCAAAGTGCAAGCATCGGATGGTAGCCGACTTCTCTGGTAGCTTGGAAGCCCCGAAGGTTGTGGGATTCGAAGTGCTGCCGCAGGTTGATGTGCCTGATCTTGCCATTCCAGACGTGAAAAGTCTTCGCCAGGGCATCATCACAAAGTGTCGAGATGCCTTGCGAGAAGCTGAAGAAGCATGTGGCAATGCCCAGCCTCTGCAGCTGGAAAATGCGCTTGGCTCGAAGGGCTCGTTGATGGAGCGCCGCTTGGGTCAAGGTCCTGGCAGAGTTCTGCGTGAATCGTTCATGGCAAGCTTGGAGGTAGAATATGCCCGACCAAAAGCAGCAGAGAAATTGGCCAAGGCGGCATTGAGCAAACCCGAGTGGCGTTTGCGCTTGAAAGAGGTCTTTCACAAGGACTGCCTGTTAGTCAAGAGGTCGCTCTGTTTTTCGGTGTATGTGTGTGTCTACGTTGCATTCTTGTTGCGTCCCAATCAGGAAGCTGCCCATCTGCATGCGCAGACGGCGAAGCAATGGGAGGATATCCAGAAAGTAATTTCTGTTCGTTGCATTCCAGATGATGCTGCTGGGCATGCATTTCGGGCACTGCAGGCAACCTATGCTGCTGGCATGATGCGCCGGAGGGATGCAGTTGCACTTTTGGCGTCACAGCCCGGAGAACGGCCCCATCTTGCCGCCTCCAACCCCTTTCTCCAAGCTGGTGAACAGTCAACGGGCACACGCCCGCGATGGACACTTGAATCAACCAGCAAAGTGCCGGAAAAGCTGCTTTGCCACCTCAAGGGCATTGTGCAGCTGCAGGGCCTCAGCACCCTCCTTGATGGAATTCGTCGGGAACTTGAGAATGACCATGTCGGGGCAACCTTGCAGAGGCAGCTGGCCGATGTGTTGCAACCGCCACAGCTCATCACAGACAGAGGCGATTGGCTCCAGCTGGAATGGGAGCAGGGCTTTGTGTGCCGGCCAGTGCAGTTGGAGGTGGCAACGGCCATGATGGACAAGTCTTTCGACAAACACGTTCTTCAATTGAACATGGGGGAAGGCAAGAGCAAGGTAATACTGTGCAGGCCTCAAATGTGATTGACCCTGTGCTTAGACTTCAGTGTCCCACGGTGAGATTTGCTGATACAGATGCATGCTGACGCATTGCCGAGGCCTTTACTCTGCACCGCTGTTGGAGATGGTCGTCAGCTGGTTAGGGCCGCCCGCATCGCACAAAACATGTGCTTTGCGTCTTTCCAGCTCCCATCGAGCCAGGATTTCAGCATTGTTGACAGGTAGTGGTTTTGAGTTCGCTCCTGCGTGCATCTGTGGATCACCTGCGACAAGTTCTTGGTGGAATGCTTGGCCGGAGGTTCGAGATCTTGATAGGCCTGCACGTTTTTCAGTTGCCGGAGTTGTTTTTGCTCGATTGAACGCCTGCAGGTTGTATTTGCTGCCCTTCAACCGCAGCAAAAGGCTGAACGAAGATTCTGTCAAAGCAATTGCAGCTCAACTTTCTGAGTGCCGGAGGCTGGTCTTGAAATACAACAAAGACATCCATGCATGTTGTGGAGTGATTCTCATGGTCTTGCTAGCCAAGGAAGCGAGGTGCGGTTCTTCTCATGACTGAGGAAGAAGTCAAGAGCTTGCAGCTGAAGTTGCGTGAGTGCTGCCTCAAATCTCCTACCTCTGGTTTGTCCCGGGAGTTTTCTCGATGCTTGTCTGAATATGCACACGCCACTCAACCAATCGAAAAGACCGACAGCTTGCTGTGTGTGAGCTTGAAGGACTATTTTCAGAGGTGTTGAGCTCCGCCGTGGCTTGGCCACCAATAGTGGGCTGCAAATTGAGAAAGAAGAAACAACAGAGGGAGAGTTCTCCTCTTAGTTGAGGATGAGGAGGAGTTTTTGCAGCGCGGAGATAGAAGGAGATATGCGAGTTGAACTTGCTGTTGCTTGTGCACGAAACGACAGACAACAGGAAGAGGTGAGGAGAGAGTTTGAAGATCGTATTGCAGGAATAGGGTCATAAATATGATTGGCCACTGCAGGTGGACATCTTCGATGAAGTGGATGAAGCGCTGCGATTGAACAACGAACAAATCTATACCCTTGGAGAAAGACAGGCGGATTTTTTGTATGAACTATTTCGGCCGGCGCATCGATCAAAGCGTGTGCCTTGCTGCTGTCCTGGAGGCGCTGGACGGTGAAAGCCTGCGATGGCGAGTCCAGTTTGAAGTCTTCCGCTTGCTGACACGGCCTTAGTCGCTCGTTCCTTGCGCGCGCCGAGGGCAAAATGATGGCTGCTGCTTGCAGGAAGGAAGACTCGGAAGCGAAGAAGTTGTTGGAGAAGCTCTGCAGCTTACATGCGGCAGAACTATACGAGCCGAAAGCCAGCACAGGGGCAGAGTTCCCGAATTTGCGCTTTGTTCAAGTACAGCGATCCTCGGCCAAGCAGGGAGCAGACTGTCCTGTTGGCATGTGTCTAGAATTTCATGTGCGCTTGTGCTATGCACCTTCTGAAGTCAGAAGCCTTGCAGTCTTCGCCTACTGTTAGTTTAGGAAGCAGCTGCCTGTGGAAGCAGCTTGCCAGCATCCTCTGTGGGTGCCTGTTGCAGTCACAGAAGTCCAGCGCAAATCGACTTGGCAGTCTTGGGAAGCTACCTCCATACATCCGCTACTTGCTTGAGTCTTGAGCAGTTGCATCATGGGTAGATGTTGCGTGGGTCGCAGAATGTATAGGAGGCAAATGACCTCTCCCCCCGACCACGTCAATCACTCAGGCAAGCAGTTGCAAGAGTTCATTTTGGACGCCGACTTGTCTCAAGACAAGCTGGATGCAATCCTCGGTTCGCCCGCGTGTTCTGAAGCTGCTGTGGATACCACCGAGTTGCAGCATGCAGTGTTGACTGCACGGGGGCTGTTTGCTGGTGACATCATGCGTGCTGCCCTTCACAAGCGGCACCGGGTCGAGTTCGGCGTGGACAATGTCACCCATCGCTGCAAGATGGCTATCCCTTTTCGCTACAAGGATGCTCCAAGTGAGCGGACAGAGTTTGGCCACCCTGATGTTGCCATTGCTTTGACGCTGCGTTCCTACTACGAGGATGGTCTCAGCCATGAATGCTTTCGCGAGCTGCTGGACATGTTTGAGGAGCTTCCTGCAGCTCAGCGTGCTGAGCTCTACCAGTGTTGGTTGTTGGCAGCTGTGCAGGAGTCAGACCGACGTCCTTCAGCAGGTGAATCGCTTGAAGAAGCAGTTGCCAAGCGGCTCGGTCTTCCCAAGAGTGCAGCTGGCCTGGTGTCGGATGACGAGCGCTTGTTCCAGCTGTTGTGGCGACAGCTGGCTCTGAACATGCGGGTGATTGAGACCTATTTGGAGGAGGTGGTGTTTCCCAAGGAGACCCGGCAGTTTCCTCACAAGGTCGGTTGTGAACCAAAGACTTCTGAAGGATGCAAACAAAGTTGGCGAAGAAGACATTGTTTCCCGACTGTGTAGAGGGCATTTCGCTCATGTAGAATTTCGTTTGCAGGCAAGACCACTCAGAAAATACGCTTGAACTCAGACCGGGGAGTCGGTGGGGCATAGTGTCTTGAAAGGTACGTACTGCTGCCTTCTAACCATGAAGAAATTTGCACAAAAGCTGGTTTATGGTGGACATTCAGCCACCGCCATTCGAAAGCAGGTGGCTGTGGGTCCCCCGCTCTTGGGTTTTTTCATGCAGATAGATTTAGCACCCCGCTGAGGGGTGCCAGGGGGGGGGGGGGACGTCTGACATGTTCGGGTCTCTGAAATCAGTTGCTGTACAGCAAGGTGAACTCACAGCTGCGTGTCGCTTGGGAGACGTAGAAGCCCACGCCATCGAAGAAATGGTTCGCCCCAGCGCGTTTTCGTGTCATTGTCACAAACTCCTCAAAATCCCTCAACAGGCCCGTGGTCCCTGAATTCAACGCGAGTCCTACCCCCTCCCCTCCCCCCCCCTGTGCAGGGTAAAAGGGGAGGGTTCCTTCGCCAGAAAAATCCAACGCCACAGGGTCGGCAGAAATTCTTTCTTTCATCCAAGACTTATCTTGGCCTTCTTTTGTACTGTAAATGATGAATTTGATTCCGACGTTGGTGCTAATCCTGAGCAGTGGTCACGAAAGCTCTTCCCAGAAAGCCTTTCGCTTCAATACCCAGAACTTGTTCTGCTGGAAGGCCTAGGGGGTCAGCGCACCGGCGCGACTGGCCTTAGTTTCTTTGACGCCTGGCCTCGTACACGAGCCCTTTTTCCGGAGATTTCCCCTGAACCCGACCTAAACTCCAAATTCCAAACCGCAAGGCTTGGCCGAAAAAAACCTTTCTGTAACCCCTCCATGTCCTCCTACACAAGATCTTTCGTTTCCCCCCCGGGGCTCAAGTAGTTTATTCGTCTTCAGGGGTTGCGTGGCGTTTTTCTGTGGTTTCATGTTTGGGCTTGTGTGATCACCGACTCCCTGTGGAGAGGTAAGCAGTGACTCTGTCGATTTGAGCGGACATGCACGTTGTTAGTCTGTTTGCATGGGTATCCCTTTTCAGGTGTCTGCCAGTGGATGGGATTTGGCTGCTGGGTGCTTGCGTGGGTTTTCTGGCACTGCGGACAACCGCCAAGTTCTGCCGCTGGGTGTTTGCCAGTACGAACCAGAGAGCTTGAAGCACACAGATGGATATGCTCTGCGATGCTTGCTGGATCCTGACATGTCAGGGCCTGCGCCAGTCGTGGGGCTTGAAGCCACCGCGGCACAGGCCATATTGCGTGAGCTCCTCTTAAGTTCTGCCAGCAGGTGGCCAGTTTCAGTTCTCATTGACTCTGGGGCCTTTTTGACAGGGCTTTCCAATCGTGCAGTTGCGGAAGCCTGTTTGGGCATTCAGGAGTTGGCCTTCCGAGCAGTCATCTACTTTGGGGAGGATGGCAAGATCTGGGTTTTGGACAGGCAGGGTAGGCAGTTCTTGCTGGCCAAAAGCCCACTCCAACCAGCGGATCAGGGGGTCTTCACTTACTTGGATGATCAGCACACACTTGGAACAGATCTTCGGTTTCGGCGTGAGGCTGTCGGTGCTGTGACAGTAAGCCGGAAAATGACCAAGGATCGGCTGATGCAGGCGACCATGCGGATGAGGTCTCTGGGAAAGGGCCAGACAGTGGTGCTCTTCCTGAATGGCGAAGCACGCAGGCAGGTGGCTCAGGATGCGGGCCTCCCAGAAGAGCAGGACATTCGCACCGATCTTCTTCTGTTTTGGGTCGCATCCAACACTGCGCAGCAGCTTCAAACATCGGTCGTTCTCTGGGCCCTACAAGGCGCCAGCTTCGCTGTCCGCGAGCCTTTTGTGCAACACATCTCTAAGGGCGCCTTTGGCTCAGGCACGGCACCTGCGGGCATTGAAAAGCTGTGCTTGGAGCCAGAGGCTTTTGCACTTTCGGCCTACAGCCAGCAATTGGCTCCACAGCCAGCATGTGAGGACATTCCAAAGCGCGCCAAGGCCGTCCTAGCAGCCACATTCACAATGGCAGGCCTGCGTGGTGACAAAGTGGAGGGCTTGATGCAACAAGCCAAGAACACCATCGACAAGCAGCTGGCCTACCTCACGAATAATGGGCTTCTTTTGCAGGACACCGTGGCAGTTTCATCGATGGACGAGGAGCAAGAGCGTGAGCGAGAACAGGAGAAGGAGCGTGAGCGAGAGGTGGAGGTTGAGCAAGAGGTGTGTCAGGAAGACCCGGAGCCGCAGCCATTTCAGCCCTTGAAGGAGCATGTGTGGGACTTTAGCAAGGTTCTGGAGCGAGACTTCGTTCGCAGGTGCTCGAAAAGAGACGTTCCAGGATACCCAACCCTGCACACCGTGACGGCAGAGGTGTTAGAGCAGCATGGGCTGTCCCTTCCACCCTTGCGCGGGTTGAGGCGCATGCCCGATGACATCTTGGTCACCCAAAACTGGCTGTGCAGTGTCGCCATAGACAGGCGCGGCACAGAATCCGCGCAGTGCTTGCGTCCGGTGGATGTGTTCCTGCTCTTCAAGCAGTCCACCGAAGAGCCATATTTCCCGAATTTCCTCCCACGTGGCCATCCGTTTTGCTTCAGCTACGAGCCTGGGGGTGCACCTTCAGAGGAGGCGGTGGTGCTGCTGTCGGGGATGGAAGCCTCCCGACTCCTGCCTGTGCTGCGGCGTGGCCTGGAACGCCAGACGCGAGCTCATGAGGTCACGGCTCTGGCAGTCCAGCTCTGCCACCTGCATGACCCGGGCGTGGCCATGGCGGTTTGCCCTTGGGGCTCACCTCGAGATGTGAGCTTCCGAACCCGAGCTTTGTTAAAGCTCCTGAATGGGGATTCTGGCTACTGGCCCGAGGAGCGGAGTGAGCTGGGGAAGTTCCTGGGCATCCTGGAGCCACAAACTCTCCAAGGCCACGTGGACGTGTGCAGTTCGGAGCGGGCTTCTCGGGAGGTGTGGGATGCTTTGAGGGACAAGGACGTGCTGAGCTGGAATGGATTCGTGAAGCGCTTGCTCATGCCAAGTGACTTCTTGCATGATGTAGACGTTCTGCCCCGAGATTCTGAGTTGCAGGTACACAATCTCTTGAAAGGGCTTTGCATGCATGGCGAAGGGATGTCGAATCCCAAGAAGTGCGTAGAAGATTTAGTGAAGCTTCGCTTACAGATTGCTTCCTACCGTGGCTCGAGCTTGGAGAACCTCCTGCTCAGCTGAGGGAATCTCTTCAAGAGAGCATGCTCGGAGATATTGATCTTGAGTTGGGGTCCTATGATGTCTTAAAAGTGTGAGACTCTCAGGATGAGAAATCCTCCACATTATGACCGCAGGTGAGTAGCATTCAAATCAAGAGAGGACTCCCGCGGGCGTGAAATGGCTTCAACGTGAATCATCCATGATGAAAGGGTTTGCACGCGTTTGCTTGTGTTTCATGACTGCGTGGTGAGCTACACTATGATCAGTCCCAACCATTCAAACATGCTCTTCAACAAAACCAAGGTTACTGATTCTACAAGTAAGGAGGAAAGATGAAGGGGCTGACGAGGGTGTCTCCTCGGTGTCTCCTCCCAAGTTGCCTGAAGCAAGTTGATGCCAGGCCAACTTACAATCTGAAGCCCTCTCAGCGCGCTTCATCTGTTGCAATTTTCGGGTCAAATTTGCAGAGCGTCGCTGAAATCTGGGCTCTGCTCGGCAAGATGCACAACTGTCCGGATTCAGCAAAACCATAAACAGTCGTGGCAGCGCCCTTCACCCTCGGAGCCTGAAACGGTAAGAGTGGGGTTTTTTTGAGAATTATCTTTTGCAGTGATGGTGCTGGAGATAGTGTTGGATCACCAAGTTGCTGGGGGGGTCTTGGATGGACAGGCTGCCGATGCTCCATTGCTGTGTGGCACGGCGCTGGAATCAGTCTGACCCCCGTGGAGAGAGGCCCGTAATCGATATGCACGCCACTCGAACAATTCTTACGATGCCGCGGGAAGACACGTGTCTTCCCCCAAAATGTGTTTGAAACTGCTGTGCCACTTCGCTATCCAGGGCGGGTATGCAGCAGTTTGACAAGACAAGGCAAGAAAACATCACCACTTCAAGGACACTTGCCTGGTATCAGCATGTCATCGAAGCATGTTGTTGTTGACGGCGCTTGCTTTCCAGCATAGATAAAGATCGGTTTCAAGCCTCACATGTCGACACAGAGTGATGTCATGTTCGCATACCGACTAACAATGGCAGACTTGACAACGTCTCACATCTCATGGCATCTCTGTGCAGGGTTTGCGACACGCACAAGAGCGTGCAAGTTCGATTCGTCATGGGTGCTTGCAACAGCTCGGCGCCTGCGTCCACCCAAGCTCGAGGCAAAGTGAGTGCACGTAGTGTGCGAACATGCGCTGTTCAAACATGTTCAACGGCAGAGGCTGTCTTGAACGCATTGCAGCGATCCAGGTGGTGATGCATCAACGCTTCTTGTGGAGGCTGGTATGAAGCCCTGCAATGGGGACTTGTTTTGCTATTCCATGCTGTTCCCATCTGCATCAATTGCTCGCTGTACTTTCACAAGTTGCAGATTGCTTGTTGTCAGAGAAGCAGATCCCCCCACAATCCCGAGACCCCTCTCAACAATCCCGAAACCCCAAACCTCCCTCATTCAGGCTCTGCCGCTGAAGCTGCCACTTCCAAGCTCACCGCCGCCTCCTCGCCAACGGCTTTTTCTTTTTTCTGGGGGCGGGGTGGGGACGGGGGTGGGAAAAGGGGGTAACCGGGGGGGCAGGGGAGGGGAGGGGGAGGAGTTTTAGAGAGGGTTTCAGTTTTCTTGTTTGTTTTGGGGGTTTCTGGGCTTGATGGCATCTGTACTTTTGCGGTAGGGTAGAGGATTTTCACGGCGTGGTGTGTTTGGTTTGATGCAGGGTTCAGGGTGTAGGCTTAAGGTTTTGGGGCTTGCAGGTTTGGGGTGTGGAGTGCAACAATGCAGTTTACGGTTTGGGGCTTCGGGCTTATGAGAGCTTTCAGTTTTGGGATGTCGTGTTTGGCGTGGGTTCCAGGCGGTGATTGCATGTTTGCAATGGGGGCAAAGGATGTGCAGGGGTTTGATCAACGTTGCATTGAAGACGCTGTCACAATTGTCGTGATGAAGCTGCAGTGGGAGATTGAGCACGGCACAGGTTCCGTAATGCCATCGGCTCGCCAGCGTAGGTTTGCTCGGCATAGTGTTGTGCTTTTCGCGCCAAGTCGCGTCACGACGCGATGGGCGCCTGGGGACGATCGCGGCTATGGATGAGGTGCCTCTTTCAAAGGTGCCAGGTTGCCGGCATTGCCCACGTACCTGCTTTAGCCCGGCCAGCCCTCGAAAGATGGGACGTCCGACCGCTTGCCGCGGTGTTGACGCTAGCGCTGACGGCAGAGCAGGCGCGGCGTGCGCAGGGCAAGGTAGGCTGTGCCTCCACCCAGCGCATCAGCCTCGGCCAAGTCACAGAGTTCGAGGAGGCCAGTATGCGGGAGGTGAAGATGGAGGGAGGTGGAGCCGTGTTGGTTCACCGACATCAGGGCGAGTTTTTCGTGACCTCGCCGGCCTGCGCCCATTACGGGGCCCCGCTCAGGAAGGGCATCAGCTCTGCCGGAGGTCGTGGTGGGCCGCCCACCGTCACCTGCCCACTGCATGATGCCACCTTCGACCTGAGAACTGGTCAGGTTGTCAGAGGCCGGGGGTTTTTGCCCAGCAAGGTCGTGTTCGACTATCGGAGAAATTATTGAAGCTTGAGGCCCCTTCTGCTTAGGGACTTCTTCCCTTGCATGTATACGAGAACCTGTATGTCCACAACCATGAAACTGTAGCCCTTGCGCAATTTTTTTGGCACTGACTGGGGGGTCCCATTGGAAAACGCGTCTTGTGTTTGCGGGTCGCCTCAGACAAAGATCCTCAGTAGAAAAACCGTAGTAACAACCGCTTTATAGGACTTGACAAAGCCGGAGAGCCCAGTACAAATTTCAGTAGAGGTCCCTTTTGGGTACCAACCAGCTGGATACAGCTGGCACTTGCAAACACGCTGTACCACTGACCTGGGTTGAAAGGCTTTGGTGCTGTCTTGTGCGTCCTCGTGCGAACCTTCGGAGGACCCAGTGTGGATGGCATCGCAGTCTACAAGTCTGAGGTGAAGAACGGTGTCCTGTACGCAGACATCCCGCCCGAGCTGGTTGCTGGAACCGGCAAGCACCCAAAGGCACATGAACTAGCCCTGATGTTTACCAGGGTTTCGAAATGTTGTGAGAGTACGGTTGTGGCATAATTACCGCGTAGTGGCGTCTCCCAACCTGCAGGGTTTCTCGCAGGAAGCCTCCTGAGGCTGCACGCGCACCTAGAGGTTCACGTGTAATTCTTCAAGCAAGTTTGTAAGTAATTAGGGTAAGTGTATGTCCAACCATATCTGTGGCAGCCTTAACCATACCTGTAGCTGCTCCTGAATCTTGCAGATGTTCTAGCTCCGTGCATAGTTCGCGGTATTCTCTTGCCTTGTGCTGGGCTGAGTGCCAGCATGGAAGCAAACGTGAGCTACGGGCGATCTCGCGCTGTGGAACCCGAGCTTGCATTGCGGAACACGCGACTTGCAAAGCAGGCGCTGGCGAACGTTGAGCCGCGCTGATTTGGAGCTTGTGCAGACGTTCGCAAAGAGCAACGAGAATGCTGCCCCAGATGTGGGTTGAGCTGAACATTTAGGAACAATTTACGCCATGTGACGAAGTGATGGCCGCACCATATCCACAGTCTGGAAGTGTAGGCGAAACGGGCGGCACCATGTGCTGACAGCGTGGGCAGCTTCGGAAACGACCCCACGTCGGAAGCAAGGGCAGTTTTTTGAGATTCGTGCGAGCTCACATGACAGAGTGGCAACCCACCGCACACGATGCCGCGTTGAGTTCCCGCAGCGGCTCGATGCAGCCGATTACTTTTTGCTTACAAACCCTTTTGCTTGCTTGCAGTGAAGATCGTACGCTTGCATGGCGGTTCTCATTGAATTGAGCAGCCAACGTGCTGCGGATGGAATGTTGGCATGCCTGTTTGGCCTGGAAGCCTTCCTTGATGACTCACACGCGCACGCGTCTCCCCCCCGCCCGGGACGCAAGCCCTGGCGACTGGCCCGCGCCTGGCAGTTCCACCACTCATCACGTACTCGTACCACTACCTGCCACGCACGTGGTCCAGGCCACGGTTGTGGGAGACGGCTGGAAGCGTGACCCGTGGCGCGACCACGCTCTCGTTTGCACCCGCAGCGGTCTTTTGGCTGGGCCGGCGAATTTTGTCGCGATGCGGTCGGAACAGACGGCCACGTTGTGCCACAGCAGTGGCTGGCACACGCCTTGGCCCCAGGCGTGTCGCTGGCCGATCGCCGATCGCCGGCGCTGTGCCTAGCCAGGGATTGGCCTCGACATGGCCATCACGTTCGCCACACTTCGCCGCACCTCACGTCTGCCCCTGGTAACAGTCAGGTCTCGCTTCACGTCGAAGATGGCCTTGTATTACGAAGCTTCTGGGAGCCTCTCGGCGCTATAAGTAAGTACTAGTGCTGTGGTAACCGCCCACAAGCATCCACAAGCCGAGGTGGTGCAGTTGTCGCGGATGGTGCGTGAAAAAACACGCTGTCAATTGACCGAACAAAAAGATGACAACATTTCCGCTGCAAGAACCTTTATTTCATCACCCTCTTCCACTCCGATTGTCCGACCACAGGGAACCGAGGCAGCCAGCTCCCTCAAGGTCAGACGCTGCCAGGAATCAAGGCTTGCACGAAGAGTTGAGTTTAATGAAAAAGTAATGAAAACAGATGAAAACGGTTTCGGGTTTAGGTCCAGATTTGCAACTTTCACTTCAGCACCGAAGTGGAAAAAATGAAGCCTTGTGGCTGCATGCTTCGACATGCGCCCAATTGCTATCATTCCTTTCGGCTTTGCGCCCCTCGCAGTCGCAGAAGATGAGACGTGCCTAAGGAAGTGAGTGCGTCGACGTAAGCGCGCGCGAGGCCCGGCTGCCTGGCGTCCAGGTGCCCCAAGGTGTCCGCCCATGCTTCCCATGTGCTGCCGGCGCTGTGCGAATGGCGGGTTGCAGGCCAAAACCTCCGAGAGCCGCGGGCAAGTTGGCGACAACATGCGTGGGACGCGAGAAGGCATGTCGCGGCCATCCGCCTCCCCCAGGCAAGCCCACAAGGTTGCACACAGCGCCCGGTCACGTGCCCCTGCGTACGGACGGATGACTTCGGGCGGGAGATTGCGCAATTCATGTTTTGCACCCGTGCTGGGGCACATGAGCAGAAGGTAGCAACAGGAGCCATGCACACTGGAGGTTAAGGATGAGCTTGACCGTTGCTGGCAATGGCTGAAATCTTCGAGATGAGCAGGCCAGCCATGTCTCCCAGCGTGAATCACGCGGAGCGCATGAAGAAACGCGCGAATCGATAGTCGAGGAACTCCTTGTCAGCTTGGGCCCAGACAACGATCATAGCCTTGGACGGCCAAGTCGCTGTAGTGAACCTCGGACATATACGGGTGTGCCACGGGAACGTCGGGCCGGAAAGGGACCTGCCGGGTCTTACAAACCGTCATCAGCGCATCAAGAACGACATCACCCAACAACGATCGTCGCTTGGACTTTTATCGGTTCGCATCACCACCCCCTTAACCTAAAACACCGCGGGGGTGGTGACCTTTCTGCTGGAGGCCGCGGTGTTTTTCGGAGGGTTGGGCCCATTCCACGGCCAGGAGACACAGAAAAAACACCGTGGGGGGGCGAACCCGGGTTACCACCCCCGCGGTGTTTTTTTATAAGGCTTTCCGAGATCCCGTGAGTTTCTTCTTAATGCTTGACCCTTTATGTGGAGTGCCTACCCACAGAGACCTGGAGAATCCCTAAGTCCCCCCGGAGAAGCGGGATTCTCTGCGGGCGGATACTCCGCAAAACATCGCTTCTCTCGTGAGCGCTCCAGGGTTGCTTGTGGGATTCTCGGCAGGATTGACTCCAGGGGTACCCTGCGGAATTCTCTGCAAGATTTTTTGGGGTAGTCACTCTTCTGGGATTTGTTGTAGGACTCTTTGTGCGGGCGGGATTCTCTGCTCTGCTTGCTTTTTTGGGCGAGGGCGCTCCAGGCATACTCTGCAGGATTCGGCGGGCATTCCACTAAAATTCTCGGGAAGGCACTCCAGGGATCGGCGAGGTATTTAAAACAACCCCGTACAGCGGTTGGGGACTTTACTTCAGGGTTTGTGAAAGCCCAAAATGGTCAAAAATCACAAACATTTGGCATTTTGGTGGTTTCCAAGGCCGCCAAACTAGCGAAAAACCTTATGTTTTTGCCTTAATTCAGGGTTTGCGAGACTCAACATGGTCAAAATCCCTGAAATTGGCGATTTCGGCATTTTCCAAGGCCGCCAAATGAGGAAAATCCCTGTGCTTTGGCCTTAATTCAAGGTTTGTGAAAGCCCAAAATGGTCAAAAATCACATAAGTTTTCCATTTTGGTGGTTTCCAAGGCAAAACTAGAGACAATCCCTGTGTTTTGGCCAAGGTTTGTGAAGGCCCAAATAGTCAAAAATCACAAAAACTTGCCATTTTGATGGTTTGCAAGGTCTTGGCCTCTGGAAGAAGAGGAAAACTTATAGAAACATTACAATAGCCAAGCCCTAAGCCCTAAACCTAAACCTGACAAATCCCAGACCAACCCAAAACGAAAACCTTAGACAGTAACCCTAAACCCTAAACCGTAAACCCGCCAAACGCCCCAAACCCAAATCTGAAACCGTAAAGCCTCTGCCTTAAAACCAAAAACAAATCTAGCCTCTTTTCAGGGAGTGCATATACATTTTTAGGTCCAAACTTGGGCTCCAACTCAGGCACCGAGCGCCCGGCAAAACTTAATCTTGCCTTTTGTAGGGACTTATAGACCCAAAAGGTTTAAAGTTTACCCTACTGGACTGCTCAGCCAAAACGGGGGCATGCTGGGCCCCCTTGGGGTCTGGACAAAAGTCTTTTGGAGGGTTTTTAGGTATAGGGTTTAGGGTTAAAGCTTCGGGCTTAGGGTTCGACAGCCCGAATCGCACGGGGACCCGGGTAGCGCAGTGGGTGGATATACATTTCTCTGTACACCGTACACCGCACGGCAGAGGCACCACCATGATAGGTGTCAGGGTTTAAGGCATGTCCTGGTTTCAACTGCAGTGTTTAGGCCTTAGGGCTTAGGACGCGAGTGTGTATGTGTGTGTGTGTGTGTGTGTGTGTTGTCCCTTTTGTTTTGACCTTTGTCTTCGGAAAGAGAGAAAGAAGGAAACCAAAGTAGGGAACCAAGAGAGGCGCTAAACCCCAAACCCCCTAAACCCTAGTGGACCTAAGCCCTAAACCCAGAAAGAGCAAAGGAAGCAAACCTGGCTCCTTTTCAGAAAGAGTGGGCAAATATAATTTGCATGTCGGATATAAAAGCCAAATCACGCGGGTTGGAGCACGTGACGGCAGCCCGAGATAGAACGAGAAATTTAGGCTTTTAGGGCCGTTTAGTGCCGCTCTTCGTTCCTTACTTGGTTTCCTTTTTTCTCTCTCCTTCCAGAGACAAAGATCAAGAACAAAAGGGACAAACACACGCATACTCGCGTCCTAGGCTCTAAGGCCTTAACCCTTCAGTTTAAACCAGGGAAAGCCAAACCTTAAACAAGCAGCAATCCTGAACCCGAAAACCTCCTAAAAGCCTTAAACTTTGGTCCAGATCCCAAGGGAGGCGCCCACAAGGCCGCACTTTTGGCTGAGCAGCCCAGTAGGGTTAACTTTAAACTTTTTGGGTCTATAAGTCCCCTACAATAGGAAAGTTTAAGTTTTGCTGGGTGCTCGGTGCCTGAGTCTAAGCCCAAGTTTGGACCTGAAGCCCGGAGCTGGGTCTGCCAGCATTCCACAGAGGCAGAAAGAAACTCTCTCTGGGCAAACGGGGCACTCGCAGGATTGTAGCGGTTGAAGCCTTTGTTTGGGGTTTGGAAGCTAGAAGGCGTGGGTGCGTGCGTTGATTGTTGGATTATCCCGAGTCTTGCGATTGCTACGTCGTGAAATGACCTTGGCCAGGTATTGTTTTTGGAAGTCTGCAAGGTGAGGGCTGCAATTGTTTGTCTGTTTCATATCCTGGCGGCCAGTTTTGGGAGTGGAAGAGAACTACATTTCAGATGCATCCTGATTAGCAAGTGAAGATCCAGTGCCTCGTCTCCTTTGCACCCGTTTTCTGGGCAGTGTAAGATCAGTATCCAGAATAGTGGCGCAAAGAACA